GGTAAACAAATGAGAAGTTGTGATAGGGCGATAGTTGGATAAGAAGGTAAAGATTAGATAGATAGGTCAGGACAGAAAAAGGAGCGATAGCGTAACCGTTTTTGGCAAAAAGTTTTTCGAGGGATTGTCTTCACTTGTTTCTGTGACGAGTTCGTATATTGGTGCGGAGAATGGCAAAACTCACTCATGAGGCTAGCGAAACGTTTGAGAATGTGCCATGTCCACTATCTGAGGCTGAGAATCATGGTAATTACTGTAGCAGACCACTTCGGACTAGGTGCATACTACTAAGTGACCCTAACAACAAGACCAAGTTGCGACAACGAAGTCAACCCTCCACTAACCAATGTTGCCTGCGATTCCATTTCTTATATTTTTTTAGCGCATTGGATTTGCTCGATTAATTACTCGGTTGCTGGTAAAACCCATTGTCCCGTGCTGTGTACTTTAGCTATATCTATCATACTTTGCTGTGAAAAGCTATATTATTATTTAATAATTCGTTTATCTTTATGCTCGTTTTTGCAGATACTTTTTTGCTATACTCTATATAGTTTCTTAAATGTTTAGTTAACTCTTCCGTATTTCTTCAGCTTCTCATATGGTTAATTTTTACTTGGCATATTATCCCAATTTTAAATACTTGGCGAATAACTACTTGCAATGTGTTTCTTGTCTGGATCAAAATTTGCTCCTATATTCTACCCAACTGGATATGTTTTTGTCGTGTGATTGGTTGCTATCCCTAGTTTAGATGCTATTGGAATCAGAGTTTAGGGGAATTTCTTCCATTCTTCCATAACAGTGCTAGCCATCTGCTCTTTCTTATGAAAACATTTATTATCCTACATTCAAAATCTCTTTAGTTTAGTTAACAACACGATCGTGCACTGCATACAGACTAGTATCTTTTCTTGAAGCCCATTTTGCTGGTTAATCTGTTAACTATTCTTCACCCTCAATTTTGTTCCAGATTTTAGAACTCTTTAAGCGCCACATGCGCATATTGCTTTAATGAATTTTATCATTTTGGCTACGCTAGCTGAATCAGTTTCATTCAAGTGACCAAGACGATATAGCAAGTGCGAAGGCTAGGCTTGCGAAGCTCTTCTTTTTTCCATCACCGCCTTATATTACGTAAGAAAGTAGGGTTTCGAGACTACCAGTAAATCATTGTAATGAGATGTATTCACCCTATTTCGTGTGGCATTATTTTTAGCTATCTTCTCCACTTTTTGTACTTATGGTTTTGATCTTTCGCCATAAGAGGCTTGAGATTGATATATAGATTATATCTATTTTTTTCTCAAAACCGGCTCTGCTTATCGTAATCACATTTCTAAATTTACAGTCCCATTATAAGTTACGCTCGTAGCTTTTCGGATCACACAACTGTTGAGCAGTAGTTCGTCACATCATTTGACTCCCGACATATCTAAGTTTTATGCCATATCTATGCTGCTCTTTTAGGGTTTTTGAGTTGCTTCATTGCTTTTACTCTTATTTTAGTAAACGTTCACTGCTACATTTTTAGAATTCATCTTGTTATTTCTAATCAGGAAATGATATAATGAGGAAAATTCGTTTGGTTTATATCAACATCTCTTATATTCTCAGCACGCCCAAAAAGGAACTTCTTATTACCTATTTCGTATCGTTAAACTTAGTTAATAGCACTGGTTTGCTTTATCCCGTTATGTAGGACGATCTATTCCATTTCAACTTATTCCCTTGGACCTTAATGACCAAATATGTTATTTAATACTCAAAATGAAAGCTTCAGTGGTTGGCATGTTTTGAATATTATCAGGAATATCTTTCTTACGAATAAGAAACGAAATGAGGATGGATCTGGGTGACCTCAAGTCAGAGCTACAATTTATTCGATATAGCTAAATGATTTGATGCTCTTATAGTTTTCAAGTATGTCTTTTATGTGATTTGATTCAAATTGGAAAGTAAAACCTTTGCTTTTAATATACCAATGATTTACTTCTATACAAGACTCCAAAACTTTCCTATATCATTGTATCACTATTAGCAAGGCTTCGATGATATATGTACGAATTTGATAAGGATTAACTCAGTCTTTTACTGAGGAATAGACTAATTTTTCATTTAATCTGTTTGCTAAAATCTCTTGAATTGATTAAAAAGATAAGGCTTATAAGTTATTAATGGGTTATTCCTATTGAAATTAAAGATTGTTTGCTGATTTGGTTAAAGCTGCTACGAATTCCTCCAAAACGTTAATATTCCTTTTAAAGTAAGGATTCAATTGCTAATGAAATCCTGTCCACTTTTAACGATAAGAGTATGATACGAGATTACTGTTACGGAAGTCAATCTTGCCGCCAGTAAAAAGATGCCGCCTTCATTTACATGATATGTCTATATCTTACTATCAGTCTCCTCATCTTGAGTAACCTAAGTTGGCTTAAGCTCTTATAGTTGTATTTAGCATTTAATTAAATTTGTCTTGCAAAAATTCAAATAGCTGACAATTTTTTCGCAGGATTTCATTTTACACAGCTTCGTATTTATTTGATACTTCACACTCACTAAAATAGTAAATAATAGATTTCATCAATGCTCTTAGCCTCTTTATCGAGGCTATACGGTATTAAACTGTTAATAAAACACACCCTTTTAAAATTATTTTACATTAGACTATTATTCATTAGTAATTCACTTATATTGGCCTAACGAAACGACCTCTGGCCTCTTTTGCTATAGCTATTTCGCCTAATCTAGGTTCATTGCTCGATTCAAAATGTGCCGACAATAATTGCCACGCTGAATTGTTATCTTATCATTTGTGTCTCCTCTCGATCTACGAATCTCTTCTTCATGCACTTTCATACGAAATGAGAGTCCTCCCAATAATGTTATCTCAGAAGATTCATAGAAACCCTTTTTCTCTTCGTATCTACTTTCTTTAAGTTAAAACTTCATTCTTTGATTATTTCTGTTGTACAAAGTCTTACTGTAGAATACTTAAGGAGGATCAAATAGGTTTATATTATTAATTAAAATGTATTCGACTCTGCATTAACCGCTTCTTCCTTAAATAAATTCATTAGTTTTTCGACCAATCAATTGCTCTTATTTTAATCCAATCTAGTTACTTGATTCATTACAGGATCATTTGCTCAAATTGGATTCAAGCCCCCGACTTAATATGTTCCCTATGTATGCCTATTGGGTTTTCAAATGGGTTAATTAGATTGTTAGGGGACCTTCATTTCGAATGAAAGTGCATGAAGAAGAGATTCGTTTGTCAATCTCACCAGATAAAGATGGATGAAAATCGTTGTACTGCAGCCGTTCGGCTTTTATATGATATTCATGTTGACGCAGTTCACGAGTCTTCCTCCCTTATTAGAGTCATAGCTTCCAGGAGGCCTCATATTTTTTGTAAGAATTAAATATTTTTTGTCCATTTTGTCTTTGTGTTTATGCATTATGTTTTCAAGTCTGGCTTTTACAAAGGATTTATTCGTAAGTTTTAGGCTTAAACATTTCTCCTTGCTTATTATGGCTCTTTCTTATTTCTAGCTTCATTCACGCAGTTGCTCTTAGTTGATATATTTTTTTCACCTAACAGAAACAACGAAAACAGCGAGAAAAGGAAGCCCTTGATGAAGAAGAATGGGAGCTGTTTCTCTCCAGTAAGTTTGATATTCAGTGAGGATTTATGTATGATATTTGCAATAGATCTTTCATGTTTTACAGCCGAATTCGTCAGGTTATCTACATTCAATTTGCTTTAAGCAGATAGTTTGTATTAATTATGTTTATATTTTTTATTTAGTATTATTTATCTTTTAGGAAGGCAAAACTTCATTCTGATAGCTGTAAACCTATATTTGTCCTTTCTGCTGTGTAATCAGTTTCCCAATTATCTTAATTTATTTTCAGATCGCCTCGTTACTATGGCTGTTTTCCTAGTGATAGTAAAATTATAAGCTCTTCTTTTTTAATCTTACTAGTTAATCATTTAAGGTTTGTATTAATTTATCCTTGTGTCTGTGACGCTCTAAGGGAAAGTTATAGATCAATTTCAACTAACTATGATCATTTTCTTTACCCATAAATGTTGCTGTATGCATTTTAATACTATTTTATTTTTTATAAGTCATCCAGCCTATTCTGCAGCACAACTCAAATGTTAATATTTATTTATATTATTATATAAAATTCACTTCAGAGGTCTTAGGTGCATACCCCTTTGTATTATTTATCAAATTTATTTATCATAGGTTGCTTTCTAAATCAGGCGAAGTACTTTTGAATTGCTTTCCTGGAAATTTTTTTATCTGTGAACCTCAAATCTGCTTACCTATGAATCTGGATGATTTTGCGACATTTAATTACGTTCATAATTACCTATATAGACACTCAACTATTTGTCTCTTGCTAATATGATTCTTTCCGACAACTGATTTTCCTCTACAATATGGCCTTCAAAATCTTACGTTCCATTTTATTTTATCTATATGAAGATTCATACTTCCCTTGCCTTCCAGTTAATTATGTGTGATATATATGCAATGTGTTCCACTATTTCTGACCTCTATCAATTTTTCTCAGCCTTTGCTGTTCCATGGCCATTCTAATATTTCCTCCCACCTCTATTATAATTTGTTCAAAGTCGTCGAATTTTATGTGATAAAATCCCAAGCAATCTAGCTGGTTTACCTTATTTTGCGTGGATAAGCTTGTAAAAAAGAAAGCTTGTGCTCTTTGTAGGGTTTCTATATATTTATGTGGTAATAATCTTATCGTTGTGAAGGCCGACAAAGGGGAGGCAGTAGTAGGAATATATGCGTCAAGTTATATATAAAAACTTCTAGTTCATTTAAATGATACCTACATGTATATGCCTTTAATGAGAGATTCAATGGAAAGATTTAAGATCAGGCTAAAGGGTGCTCTAAAGGTATGCTTAAGTGATGATGAAATGAAGAAGTTGAGAATAAACTCACTACTCCAGAGGGATGCAAGGGCCCCCACGGCTTATGGTGTTGCTAAGGTTAACAAAGAGGACGTCCCTATTCTATTGATAATAAATAATAAAAGGAGCGTGGTGCATAAAATCACGCGCTTTTTATGCATGCAACTACAAAGGGCTGCGGAGTTTTGGCTATATTCAATTAAAAATTGTTGTATATAAGTTGTTTGACGTTGTTTTCGCAACTTAGTCATATTGGAAGGAAGAGTTCGAGAAACGCATCTAGTTCGGAGTCCATTGTATGCATGATCACTTGCAAAGTCGGACTGTTAACGTGGTACATTGCCAGACGTTTCGCTGACATCGCAGTCTGCATCGTCAATGAGTCTTGCCATTAGCACAACACTAAAACTCGTTAAAGAGACAAGTGAATACGATCAAACGTGTGCTAAAAAGTTGTGGTATCTCTCCTTGGGCTAATCATATTTCCTATATCGTCGTATCACGCCTTCACTGTTACAATGTTTAAATTTTTTTAGAGTGCTTTTGAGAGGCGTTCATGAGAACCCCCAAACTCCACGATGGCGTTCCCATCCTCCCTTCACCCACCCTTGTGCTGGGAATGTTGGTCAGAGCCTGCCATATTTCTACGCAGTCCTCCTTCCCTAAATCTTATCAGAGTCTCTCTTGCCCGTAGAATCCATCTGCTAACATCCTGGTTCAAGTATTTTACTTGATCTCTGCCACCCCATCTGTGCTGCTCGAGGCGTTATTTCACATACTCTGTATCTGAGTGACTAATTCGAGGCTACAGCCTCTTAGTAAATCTCATGGTCATGCTACATGGACCACGTCTCAAGTAAAACCTACTGTCAGCCAACTAGCTCGTCTCCGCCGCGTCTATCCAGTTTCTATCCGTAATACCAAGTCTATGATTTCCTATGCCCTAGTCTCTTGTATCCGAACCCACAAATGTTGTGGAACTGCTTACTTTGATTAGGTTCAATATTGAACCACAACGTTTGTGGGTTGGCAGACAAGAGACTAGGGCAGAACAAGTCATAGACATGGCATTAAGGATAGAAACAGGATAGAAGCGGCGGAGACTAGCTAGTTGGCTGACAGTAGGTTTTACTAGAGACGTGGTCCATGTAGCAAAGGCTTGTCCATGAGACTTACTCAGAGGCTTTAGCCTCGAATTAGTCACTCAGACACAGAATGTAGGAAATAACGCCTCGTGTAGCACAGATGGGGTGGCAGAGGTTGAGGGAAATACTAGAACCGGGGCATTAGGAGACGGGTTCTACGGGGAAAGAGGGAGACTGATAAGACCTACGGAAGAGGGACCGCGTAACAATATGGTAGACTCTGATCAACCCTCCCAGCACAAGGGTGAATTGGGGGTGATAATGCCAGAGTAGAGTGTGGTTGGTTTTCCTAAACTCCGCCTAAAAGGGCACACCACAGTTCATCTAAATAAGAACGGAAAAAAATTGTGACAGGTAAGGCGTGATACGAGGATATAGGAAATGTGAATAGCCCAGGGTAGGAGAGATACCATAACTGTTTAGCACACGTTTGGTCAAAGGATCGACTTCACTTGTCTCTGACGGGTTGTAACATGATGGACGAAAGCTTAACCGGTTTTCACCCGAAACGAGGGAGGAAGTCTCGTGGACTGCGTCAACCTGAATAGCCAGACGGCTGCAGTACGGGATTTATCCGTCCTCTTTTTATGTGATAGACCTACGAATCTCTTCTTTATGCACTTTCATACGAAATGAAAGTCCCCCCAACAATGTGAATCATGAGTATCAGCTATCTGTTAAGTTTTATTAACAGACACAAGCAATTCCGATGGGATCTTGCCTGGCTAACAACTATATCGGCAAACTTGAGGAACACTATTTGGAACAGGCAATTTTTACCTCTAAATTATGGGTTAAATACATGGATGACTATTTCGTAATCTGGCCTCATGGTAAGAAAAGCTGAGATAGTTTCCTATTTTTACTTATCCAATATGAAAGGAACATTAGGTTCACGAGGACAGGTCCTTACCCTTTTTTTATGATCTGATCTTTGGAGAAAATGGTAAGTTAGGAAGAGATGTTTATAGGAAGCCAAAGTATGTTGGCTCTTCTGAATTTTATTTGCAACTATAGTTACAAAACTAAGATTGGAATTTTGAAATAAGTGATTATTAGAAGTATGAGACTATCGGATAGCAATCGTTTGATTTAAGAGTTCGAACGGCGGAAAAATCTATTCATGGAAAATAATTATCCATTGGGCCTAATTGTTAATCATATCTTATTACTGAGAAATTAATTTTTAGAAAGATACCATTTAGTCGAAGATAGGCAAATATAGCTCTCTTCTCATGTCCTGATTGTGCTGTCATGCCTTCTTTCAAAACAGATAGGAGAACTATTGATAAATTGGGGGATAAAACAGTGGTTGTAGAAACCCTCACATTTTCTACGGTTATGCAATATTTTAAAGAGAAATATGACCCATTGTCGAGATCCGGATGCTACACGATTGTGTGCTCCAGTGGTCGGCCTTCTGTTGGTGATACATGCAGGCCCATTCGACAAAGACTAGTGGAACACAAAATGCCTGTAAAGGGAGCTGTGTCCAACGGTCAGAAATGGCAGATTACATGGCAAAGACAGCACATGAGACAGAATGGTCTCAAACGAGTAAGTTTGCTGATTGTGACACGTCTGTTACTAAAAGGAAGATAAGAGAGGCTATTGAAATTAATAGATTAGGAATTGTGAGGGACGGTGGTACAATGTTGAGTAAGAACTACTTATGCTTGATTGATAGATTTATAGAGAGAGGGGGTTGAGCCATCATCCAAAAGAAGAGACTCAATTTGTCTTCTTAGTGAGGGTTCTAACTTCACTCACACTCGTCCAACATGTTAGACCATTTATAAAACATTTATTTTGTTTACATTTACTTAGATTTTTCATTATAATTCCTCTTTTTTCTCATCATTTTTTTCTTCCAGCCCTCTTTGACCCACGCAGTTTGTATCTATCGGTATATTGTATCTTCCAGTTCTCCAGTTACCTTTTTGTGCTCGCATGCCTTGTCTATCACGCTCTTATTGCCTCTCAGAGACAGGAAAGTATTGGCAAGGACGAAGGCCAATCCTCCTTCCATCGTGCACTGGACGCTCTTGTTTTGGCTCAACTTGCTTCCTGCTTTGATGTTGGCCATGCTCTTCTTGGCTGGGTTCGATCCAATTCGTTGATGGCATTCTTTCAGGTTGGTTTCCAGCTAAGAAATATGTT